TCTGTAATTTAAAGTTTTGATTTTAAATATTTGATTTAGAATTCTTAATTTCTTACCATTGAATTTATGATAATTATGGAGAATAAATTTGATTTAATTAACCTGTGATCTTACTTTTATATTATCTTTCTATTCACGAGAATACCTTAAAGGTATAATAATGATATACCAAAGTTCGTAAAAATCTATGAGGGCATTTTTTTTGTTACGCACATTCCGATAAATGTACAAACATGATTTCTTTCTTTCTTTCTAGTTTTTTATATTATTTTTTTATTTTTTTTTTATAAATGTTATACTTTGTCATCGACTTATTTTGTAAAAATTATCATTCGTCAATATAAATAACTGTAATAGAATACGCGTTGTATTATATCGATAGAATTAATTTAATATTTATTTTTTTAATTTAAAATATAACATTTATCAATATTTGCTTGATTGGATAATATTTACTCTGGGTGCAGCTGTCCCCAAAGGAAATTACTCAAACAAATTTTCGTTCATTTACATAATTGACAATATTCTTCCAATTATGAATAATTATTATTTCTATTTTTTTTTCTTTTTTTTTCCCCGTTTTAAATATAAACATTATCAATCGAACACAGAAATGTCCACTTTTCTTTGTGCGCTCTATTATTAAATTGCAATTATTAAAAAAAAAATAACGAATAATAAACCATACGCGAAACGTTCGGACACGTCAAAACGATTTATTCGAGTTTTATATCATTATCTTTATAATTATTATTGTATAATAGTAGTACCCGTATACATTTGATCGATGAATCAACTTAGATTAAATAAGAGATGCATTAGCGCAAAGAAAATAATATCATAAAAATGTACAATAGTACGGTATATATCATATGTCACATATAATATTAATCTCTATCATTTATTTCTACTTTTAATTAAAAAATAAAAAAATAAATAAAAGAGTAAAGTAATCTGTCATAATTCAAAAAAATCATCCTATTTATATAATATATAATTATAAATTAGGGTTACACTAACTTTACGAAAAATTCAATAATAATTTAGTTTATCATTTATTTCTATTTTTAATTTAAAAATAAAAATGAAAACAGACTACAGTCATTAAAAAATCATCATATATATTAGGGTTACACTAACTTTACGAAAAATTCAATAATAATTTAGTTTATCATTTATATCTATTTTTAATTTACAAAAATAGAATAATATAATCTATCATAGTTTCACAAATCATCCTAGATGTAATACAATATATATATATATATATATTTATAAATCAGGGGGGATATTAACTTTACGTGAAACTGTGAATAATTCGGTTTAAAATAGTTATTCGTTTAAAACTGACTCCCCGCTAACTGAACTTGGCTCGTTAGGGATAGAGTGGGATTAATGGAAAGTCCCATTTGAGGAATTCGATTGGGAATTTGGGAAAATCGAAGGCTCGTAAAGCCTTCTGAGTTTGGAGTTATGAGAATGAATGAAATACAGAGAGAGAGAGAGAGAGAGAGAGAGAGAGAGAGAGAGAGAGAGAGAGAAAGAGAAATAGGAGATGATATGAGATTTCCTAATAGTAGTAGAATCGATGTTGGACACACATTTCATACATTTCTGATCGTTTTGTATCTCTTTCTATTTCTAACGATTGATATATACAACACAATACAACGGAATACAATAGAACGATGAAGACTAGGAAGAAGAGAAGGAGGAAAAGGTGGATTAGGAGGAGGAGGAGGAGGAAAAGGAGGAGGTGGTGGTTGTTGTATGTAGTAGTAATAGTAGTAATGGTGTTGGTGTGGTGGTGGCTACGTTCCATAGGAATGTTATCTCATGGAACACACAGGAGGAACGACAACAATGCCGACGGGCATAACTTCGTTCCAGTCCCGTAGGAATCCCAACGCATGTACGCGTAAACGCAAACGCAAACTGGCTACAATCTATCTATCTATCTATCTATCTATTTCTATCTCTATCTATCTAACTATCTTTATCTATCTGATATAAGCTATTTCTTTCTCTCTCTTTCTCTTTCTATTTTTCTATGTCAAAGTTATGCGAAAGCTAGACAAACTGCATATTTTTCCTACGAAATATGTTATCTTTGTTCATTGTATTTCATTTATATGTACATGTACGTACGTATGTATGTATATAGTTTCTGATTAAAAAATTAATAAATTATTTAATATGTATATTATGTATTAAAGAGAGAGAGAGAGAGAGAGAGGGAGGGAGATGAAAAAGTTAAAGTAATGAACGTATTTGCAGATTTTAAGGATAACGAGAAATAATAATAATAATAATAATAATAATGATGATGATGATGATGATATATAATAATATAAT